GTTTTATACCTAGGGCTGCGCAGGTACAAGCGCCTCTCAATGATCCTCTGCACGGCAACGCCAAAGGCGGCACCAAATTGAAATGGACGCAGGAAGCTGTCGCAGCCTTCGGCGAAGCGAAGGAAAGCCTAAGGCCAGCGACGTTATTAACGCATCCGCGGGACAACGTACCGCTGGCTTTATTCTGTGACGCGTCCGATTTTACCGTCGGAGCAGCGTTGCAACAGCGTATCGGAGAAGACTGGCAGCCGTTGGCGTTTTTCTCCAAAAAGCTCAGTACCACCGAGCGGAATTACGGCGCATACGATAGAGAGCTGTTGGCGATTTACATGTCGATAAAGCATTTTAGGCACATGGTGAAGGGACGAACATTCACCGTCTACATGGACCATAAGCCGATAACTTTTGCGTTCCAGCAAAAACCCGAGAAAAGTTCTCCCAGGCAAATCAGGTACCTGGATTTCATCGGGCAGTTTATCTCCGACATTCGTCACATCGCCGGTAAGGAGAATGTCGTCGCTGACGCGCTGTCAAGACTGGAGGAAGTTGTAGAGCCCTTCAGCTATGCAGATTTGGCCGAGTCCCAGCAGCACGATGAGGGGCTGCAGGCGTACATGCACGGGGACATCAACCATAATCTACACCTTGAACGAATACGTTTAACTGGCTCGGACACAGAAGTAATCTATGATGTGTCAACGCGAACCGTGCGGCCGTTCGTAACAAGGCTTTTCAGACGAAAAGCATGCGACTCGGTACATCGCCTGGCGCATCCGGGTGTTAACGCGACGGTAAGACTGGTAACGGAACGATACGTTTGGCCGTCCGTTAAAGCCGACTGTCGAACTTGAGCTCGGGCTTGTGTACAGTGCCAGCGTTCAAAAATATCTAGACACGTTTCCGCGCCACCGGGATGTTTCAATGTGCCGTCCGGTAGATGCGAGCACGTGCACATAGACATTGTGATTCTTCCGGTTTCAGAAGGCTACAGGTACTGCCTAACGTGTGTCGACCGATTTACGCGTTGGCCTGAGGCCTTTCCGATGATGGACCAAGAAGCCTCGACCGTAGCACGGGCGTTTTACGACGGGTGGATTTCTCTGTTCGGAACCCCGCTGCGCGTAACCACCGATCAGGGCAGACAATTCGAATCTCACTTGTTTAGGGCGTTGTCTGAGTTAATAGGTGCAGCTCACTGGCGTACAATCACCCGGCAGCAAACGGGTTGGTGGAAAGGTTCCACCGCCAATTCAAGACGGCAATCCGTTGCCAACAGAATGTCCGTTGGACAGAAATTCTTCCCACCATCTTGTTGGGCATCCGCGCAGCCTGGAGGGAGGACTTACAATCCACCGCAGCGGAGCTGGTCTACGGCGAGACGCTGCGTCTACCAGGAGAGTGCCTGGCACCACGGGGCGGAAATTCGCAGCCGCTGCCGAGGGATTTCGTCGGGAGTCTGCGCGAGCATTTCGCGACTCTCGCCCAAACACCTGGCAGCGATCATTCGTCGAGGCGAATTTTCGTTTTCAAGGATCTCGCGGTGGCGGAGTACGTGTTCCTTCGAAACGACACCGTCCGGGGAATCCTTCAGCCGCCGTACGACGGACCGTACAAGGTCCTTAACCGAGGTACTCGGACATTTTCTGTGAGCATCCGGGGAAAGTCAATCACGGTCACCATAGACCGTCTTAAGCCCGCCTACCTGCTGGCTGCAGACCCAGCACACCTGACGTCACCTTAGGCAACGCGGCCAGCGTTACTTGTGCAGTCCGAGGGTCTACCTACCTCCGCACTGACCGAGAGCACGGGGCTGCCGCCTAGGTCATCGCCATCATTACAGGAGCCGGCGCTGCCGTCCTCATCTCGTGCGCTTTCAGGGGAGCCGGTGCTGCCACCCCCTATTCTGACTTCAGCAAATGCGGGCGTACGCATTACACGGTCCAGGAGAAGAGTGTGATTTCCAGACCAGTTACAGGTTTCGTGATTTTGTCAATCACTGGCAGGGGGGGTGATGTGGCGGCTTTACGACTGCCACCACGTCCTTGTTTCTTTCCGTTTAGTTCTTAACGTTTCTCACGGTTTCGTGCGAGTCTGGTTATTGTCATGAACATTTGGTAACCAGGTTCGGGCGAGACCCGGGGTTCTTACTCCTACGTCCACTTTCATCGAGGGTCTTTGGGTTTTCCTAAAGGTCCTTCTTTGTTCAGCTTTTCTACGACGATTCTTTCTTTCTGTTTCGACTTTAACTTCCTGCTTAGGGCGTCGTGAAGATCAAGTGCCCGTGCACACTTGGCGACCAGCTTGTGCGGTCCTTGCTGTACCCTGATTTCTCCTTGTTACCATTTCGGCACTTTCTCCAAGTTTCCCGGCATTTTCGGGTTCCTCCCCTGCGTTGTCTGTCTTTCTCTTTACTCCGTCTATCCTTTTTCTTTTCGTCCTTCTTAAGCTAGCGCGTAAGGACGGAGGAAGTCAGTCTGGCTGTACCGAAGTTATGAACAGAACTACGTCGCGCGCGCAAGCAACTTTTATAGATAGACAAATAAATTGAGTGTCATTAAAACGTGCTAATTACTGCTGTACTCCCGTCATCCCACAGAAGCATACCATCGCAAGCTTCTATCCTTACTGCTGAATGTATTGCTTTAAACGACGCCCTCGACATCGCTCTCCTTAACTCTGATCATAATTTTAAAATCCTTACCGATTCACGTAGTGCTCTTCTCTGTCTCCAAAGTTCCAAGTTAGATGTAACAATAAATCCTTATATAATCGAAATTAAATTAAATATTTCGAATTTATACAAAAAACCTCTAACAATAGTTCTATTGAGTTTATTTGGATTCCCTCACATACAGGCTTAGAGGGTAATGACGAAGCTGATCATTTGGCCAAATCAGCAACTTCAGATCAGAGTGAAAACCGAATCCATATTCCTTTCACTGATTATCGTGAATCTTTTAAAGTAAAGTGTAAGTCAGGTACCAAGGAATGCATTCTAGAACAAGGGCAAATAAAGGGAACAGAATTGTTTCGGTTTTATTTTAGGGACAGTGTTAAGCCATGGTTCTGAAACATGAATCTCCCACGTGAGGTTATAGTGATGATCAACCGCTGCAGATCACATCATTATAACCTTTCTGCATCCCTTGCACGTATTCACATTATAGAACATGCTACATGTAACTGCGGTTTTGATACGCAGGATCTAAATCACGTGCTTTGGCAATGTCCTTTATTTGATTTTCAAAGAATCGAACTGATGGAAAAGCTAAGTATACTTGGCTTATTTCCACCGCTTAATGTGAGATCTTTGCTCTACAAACCGAACATCGAGGCATGTTATTTAGTTTATAATTTCTTTAAAAAATGTAACATAAGAGTTTAACGTTCCATAAGTAGTGTTTAAGCCATGAATAATGATTTAGTTATTAGTACTTGTAAGTCCTTTGTGTAATTAGTTGTAAGCCTTATATAAAGCTTTGTAACTCTTCTTTCAGAGTTCAATCTAAGCTCAAAAAAAAAAGTTCAACTCAGGTTTATGATACAGACGTGATTTCGTCATATTTCAAAGATTAACGTTTTCAATAGTCCTTACAATTTTTATGTTCATTACCTACGTTTATGGTAAGGAGAGCTTTAAAGAGTCCAATTAAGAAATGGAGAATTCGGAGTTGTCGTGCTGCTTGTCAATAGCAATTGACGTACCATAAACCCGCGCGAAATCGAGTCACAGTTGCGAACCTCCAGTACCATTAGCCTGGGTTTCCCTAATGTAGGAGACACGTGGGCCGCCCTCGCCTCGGTTTACCTGCACCCTGAAGGCGGTGAATTTTTTTGGGCGTCACCAATTTGCCAGAAACCACCCTAATTGCTCATTGGTTTGTTTTGCATCCACACAAATCCAAGAACCACCCAATTTCTTGACTTACCCTGTGGAAGGGGATGACGGATTCGGAATAGAAAAATCATTTAACAGAGAGTTCAGAATCGAAGAATCAGTTAAATCAAACACATTCAATATTACACTTGCGCCAGTCGGATAGTATTTCCATCACAAAAATACAAGCACAGCATTTGCTTCATCATTTCGGGGTTTTATACAAATTGTATTGAGCCTAACACCGTCGTGTTTCGGAGTGTAGACATGTTATTGTTCGCAAAAAAACGTGTACGGACGCTACAATGATACGAAAAGGAAGCAGACAGAGTTTGCGACGTTCTTCGAGGCCGCGTAAACGTGTGTTCTACGGCAATCAACATGAGAAAAGTGAGGGTGCTCCGGAAGCAGCAAGTGCCAGTTCAAGAAAGTTGAGTACTGCGCAATCGGAGGAAATACACATTTTTCAATCGCACTGCTACAGAATTTGAGACATTGTCACAGTGTTTACGGCACTTTCGGACTTACTTGTGTGCAATCAGTGTAAAGAGAAAGTTACTTTTGCAGAGTCTGATAAGCGTGGACTCGGCTTTAAAATTATTCTTTCGTGTCAGTGTGGTAAACGGCATATTTCTTCTTCTCCTCTAAGAAATAATGCTTATGAAATCAATCGGAGGCTAGTATTTACCATGAGACTGTTAGGTGTTGGTAATGAAGGCATCAATTTATTTTGTAGCCTTATGGACTTAGGAAAGGGTCTTAGTAAGAATGCATATTATGGTATCTTACAACACATTTGCGATGCAAGCAAAATAGTTTTTATGCTACTTCAAAAAAAAGCCGTGAAAGAGAAGCAAGTGGAAAATGAAAAAAGAGAAAGGCCTATAAACAATTTTTAAATTTCTGGTGATAGTTCCTGGCAAAGCGCGACTTTTCTTCACTCTATGCAGTTACCACTCTTATAGGCTATTACTCTGGGAAAGTAATTGATCTTGTTGTGAAGGGAAGCTACTGCCAAGCTTGTGTAACTTGGAGAGGTAAAGAGGATACAGACGAATATTTAGAATGGGCGGAAGCACACGAGGATGAATGCTGCAGAAACCACGACGGTTCATAAGGAAAAATGGAAGTCGATTCTGTAAAAGAAATGTTCGCGAGGTCTGAAGAGGAATTTGGTGTGAAATATGGCAATTACATAGATGATGGAGATTCCAAGACTTTTAATGGTATATTAACTTTAAATCCATATGACGATGATTTTACAGTCATCGGGCATGTGCAAAAAAGAATGGGTAGACGGCTTCGAAATTTGAAAAAACAAGAAAAACTGGGTGAAAGGGGCAAATTAACCAATGTCTTGATAAAAAAGCTAACAATTTATTATGGCTTAGCCATTCGGAGAAATGTTGATTCAGTTTATAATATGAAGAGAGAAATAGTGGCAACATATAAACATTTATTCTCGACAAATAAAACGCCGATGCACGAAAATTGACCGCCGGGTGCAGGGAGCTGGTGTAAATGGCGCGTAGCTGAAACTACCGGAGCTGCTTTTAACCACCCTGCCCCACTCCATCCACATGTTCAAAAACATTTACTAACCATATACAAAAATTTATCTGAAGATGAACTTCTGCAACGATGTTTGGGCGGGCACTCGCAAAATGTCAATGAGAGTTTCAACTCGACTGTTTGGCGTTTGGCTCCAAAGCATTTATACTGCGGAATTCAAACCGTGGAAATAGCAGCATATATTGCTGCTGGAGTTTTCAATGAAGGGAATTATGCCATTTTGAAAATTATGGATATGTTAGAGATAAGGATAGGCTTACACTGTAAGCAATACGCGGATACGTACGACACCGCGCGGGTAAAGCGCCAGGATCGAAGAAGCTTCAGCAGCTCGAAAGAAGCTCGAACTGCTCAAAGAGAAGCCAGGGCAGGCCAGTAGCAGTTTTATGAGGAAACAGAATGGCTCCTGTATGGTCCTGGTATTCTAATCTAGGTCTGGGTTAGGTCTGGGTTAAAGTTACTGGGGGGCGAGACTGGATTGGGCTTTCGCAGCGAGGGGTGCGTAGGTGTTCTACGTCACTCCGACCTGCGTCAAAAACCACGATGGAGCTGATGTTCGACCTACAATCAGGCGACACCTCGGTGTCGTCTGCTGCGGCGAATTTCGGCGAAGTCGGCGGGCCCGGTCTGGTCAAATCCACACACACCACCTCCACGTGGTGCCCCCTGGGACCCTTGGTGAC